CCGTTAAAATTCTAAAATATGTATGTTGTTTTTACTTTCATGAATTTTATATTTAGCATTACTATTTATTATTAGACGCAGGAAATTTTAAAGAAATGTGGTAAATGTTATACAAATTTGGTTTTGATGTACATATTTTCAGTTATTTTTTCCTATTTCATATAAAAAGCTAGAGTTGAAGAGCTCTGTGCAACAGTGGCAACACTGCAAAGTCGATCTACCTTATGAGTTAATTATATAGTGACGTCAGCGGTTCTCAACAAGTTTTCTATTAAAAAATCGTGCACATTTTTATTAGAGTTAACTTTTTTATTGCACCGCTATATAAAATATATGATATGTAAATAATTGAGATTAACCTTGTATAGTGTTTATCTGTGTTAGTACCCTTTGATATCTGGCTGCTATCAATAAAAGTGACTGCGTAGAGGGACCGTAAAAACAGATGAGAAACTCTTTTCACAAAACTAATGGGACAATCTTTACCGAATATATCCTCAAGGTGATGGATGACACTGTCTCCGTAGTCGTGCTCTGAATTTTTATTAAATAACAGAGGGACGTCTTTATTTACTCCCGGTATTAACATGACAAACCACGCTACTGCAGACGCATTTATTAAGGCTTGTTTATTCTTCGGGAGACATGTAAATGGTTCTTTATTTGGCAGGTTACTAAGTGGGCTATATTTAGACGCTAAATTGAAATTCCAGGAATGAATTTCGTGATATAAAAAATACAAGGAACACTAAATCTTTATTGCTACCCTTAGAAGTGATTTCAGTATCAATTTTAATAACGTAAAAGACTGGATAATTGTATGTAAGATATCAACTGAGTCATGTAATGCTGTGTTTTGCGTGTAAGCAAATAAGTCTTGCGAAAATAGTGAAGACGAAGCTAATACAACATTATAATTATTTCCGTTTGGAAAAAAAAACCAGTATGAAAATTAACCAAAATACAATCACTCACACATTTATTCATTTTAAACATTGCTTTTTAAAAATCATGTGATTACCTATTAATATTTACATATCAAATTGAATCTATTTCATTCTAACAGAGATTGTTATTGCAGTTATTTCTTTAGCACATTTGGATATTTCTTAACAAGGAGTAGATATACAATGTGTCCCAAAATGCTGGAGCAAAATTCATATTTTTCTCCAGTTGAAATTTAAAAAAATCACCGAAACAGGTCAATTAGTAAATAGAAATTGTGTTACTTTTCCGCAATATATCCTATTTTTTTGACATTACCGACATTTTTTTTAATAGGACGCTCTATATTTCATAGTAAAGAGCTTTTTTTCTCAAAAAAAAAACACATCGATAAACACATAAAATTCACCAAAGTGCCTTAGGTATAACGTGAATCGTTTTAGATCCAATTCATTCGTTGTTAAATTATTTTGAGAAATGATTGCCCGTTTAAGCGAACACCAGAGAATTGAAATTTTAATTATGATTCGATGCAGAGATAAAATCCGTAGACAACAGGACGTATGTGACTTATTTCACCATAAGTAACCAAACCAGAGAATGAGTCGAGCTACAATAAATAAAGTATCCAAAAAGTTTGAAGAAACCGAAAGTATAAAAGATTTACCTTGATCAGGAAGGCGAAGAACGATAAGCGGAAATGAGCGTCAAAATGTGATGCTCGCCGTTACTGAAAATCCTCACTCGTCCATTAAATCTATCTCAGTCAACTTCAACTTGTCGAAGTCCTCAGTTCACAGAACTCTGAAGTCTCAAAAGTGGCATTCTTACAAAGTTAACGTCTTACAAGAACTATGGGTGGATGACACAGACAGAAGATTTCAGTTTTGTGAGGAAATTAGAAATTTATTTGAAACACAACCCAATTTAAAAAATCACATCATTTTCACTGACGAATCAACTTTTTCCTTAAACAGAACCACGAATAGGCAAAATACTAGGTTTTGGAGCCCAAAAAATCCGCGTTGGATGCAAGAAAAACATACACAATGCCCGGAAGAAGTGAATGTTTGGCCTTATTATTTCTTCGAGGGCAATTTGCCAAGCGACATTTATTTGGATTTTTTGCGTTTTCATCTGATTCCAGCCCTGGAATTAATTTTTCCTAACCCTAATGAGCACGATATGCCTGCTGGTGATGTCTGGTTCCAATAAGATGGTGCCCCTCCACATTTTCGCTTCGATGTATGAAATTACCTTAATGAAGTTTTCCCAAATTGATGGATAGGCAGAAGAGGGCGGCTTGAATGCTCCCCTGACTTAACCCCACTAGATTTTTTTGTGAGGTTATCTAAAAAGCAAAGTGTATATGAACAGACCAGATACTATCGAATGATTGAAAAATCATATCAGAGAAGAAGGTCGAAACATAACACCAAATGTTATTCAAAATGTAATTAATAACTTTGAACACCGAATTGGGCATTGTGCAATGGTTAATGGGGGCCACTTTGAGCATTTGCTATAATAAAATAAAAAGTAGTACTAAATTATTGTTTTCATTTAATTCCTCCATTATTTGACAACTATGATAAAAAAGTAGGTATAATCTTATATGGCTGAATTTGTCTTTTAGTCCAAGCATTATAGAGAAATGTTTACAGAAATTATTACCTGGACAAAAAAATATGACCGTATAGAAAATTAAATTTTAAATTGAGTTTCTTGTTCTTTAAACTCGATCCAAAATGGCGAACATGGTTAAAAAAAAATCGCAAAGTTGCAAAAAACGGTTTTTCTAAAATAACTAAAAAAATATAGCACGGATTGAAAAATTTTAAATGAGAAAGTTGTAGGTTTTAAAAAGATCTATCGACTGATTTTTTGAAAGTATCGATTGCTTTGTTACTTTTCGAGATATATCGAAAAAACCGTTAAAAATCTTCTCTTTTCTCTTCTTCTATAACTCGTTTACATTTACGTGCCCATATTTGCTATTTACTGCAAGCATAGCCCGCGGCAAGCCAAAAAAGTACATTTTTGAAAAATTTAAAAATATTAATTATTTTTCGAGATATATCGATTTTTTGAAAAAAAGGCGCTCTCGAAAATTGGCTAGATCTTCTCAGCGGATAGCCCTACAGTAACGATTTTCGGTTTATTTTCTTCGTAAAGAGTTATATTATCATGCTGTTAAAAAATGTTGACGATTTTATTAATTTTAAGGATCAAAAAATGACTTTGAATAAGTTGCACTTTTTTGGGTATGTTTTTTTCAAATTACTATTTCAATTTTTATTTTATGAAAATGACTTTTAAAGAAAGAAAACTAAACATTTACGGGTCTATTTTGCTTCTAAGGCGAAAATGCTATAATATTCGTGTTTAGCTACCCCAGATTAAGTACAAAAAAATAATAAAAATTGAAATAGTTATTTGAAAAAAACATACCCAAAAAAAGTGCAACTTTTTCAGTCATTTTTTGATCCTTAAAATTAATAAAATCGTCAACATTTTTTAACAGCATGATAATATAACTCTTTACGAAGAAAATAAACCGAAAATCGTTACTGTAGGGCTATCCGCTGAGAAGATCTAGCCAATTTTCGAGAGCGCCTTTTTTTCAAAAAATCGATATATCTCGAAAAATAATTAATATTTTTAAATTTTTCAAAAATGTACTTTTTTGGCTTGCCGCGGGCTATGCTTGCAGTAAATAGCAAATATGGGCACGTAAATGTAAACGAGTTATAGAAGAAGAGAAAAGAGAAGATTTTTAACGGTTTTTTCGATATATCTCGAAAAGTAACAAAGCAATCGATACTTTCAAAAAATCAGTCGATAGATCTTTTTAAAACCTACAACTTTCTCATTTAAAATTTTTCAATCCGTGCTATATTTTTTTAGTTATTTTAGAAAAACCGTTTTTTTCAACTTTGCGATTTTTTTTAACCATGTTCGCCATATTGGATCGAGTTTAAAGAACAAGAAACTCAATTTAAAATTTAATTTTTTAGACGGTCATATTTTTTTTTTGTCCAGGTAATAATTTCTGCAAATTTAACATTAATCCGTGATAGAATGCTTGGACTATTTATAGGGCTATCTATTTTTGTCAAAGAATAATGTATTGCCTTGAAATTTTGTAGTACTACGTGTTAGCAGATGCTAACTATGTCATTGTTGTTAGTTTTTAATCTACTAGAGGCCGTTAGAAATTAAATGCATCTATCTAATTTCCGAAACATTCAGTGGCGCCGAAATTCTGGGGTTCTTAGAAACGGTATTTCCCCAGTACCTCTGCCACTGATCGTTAGGTTTTTGTAGTAAACTTTGCGAATTTTGCCCATAATTACATATTGATCAAACTCGTTTTATCCGTGAGATGTGCACATCAAGAAGAGAGTCCGTACTAGCAGTGACAAAGATAAGATACCTTAATAGTAGGACAGCAGATTCAGACAGAGAATCAGCTTCGTTGCTGGTCTGGTAAGACGAATTCTGTCAGGCTGTAGTTAAGTGACTATCCCAAGTCAATCTACAATATCAAATATTTTAAAAGGTATTTAAATAAATGTAATCTTTTCTTATTTTGAGGTGCTTTATCACCAGTTAAAGCTTGTTGTGTGCAATTTGGGACACATATTGTTTTCCGAAAAAGATGTGGTGGAAATTTTATAAAAAAATCGTCATTAGCGATTCATATTTCACAATAAGTGAAAATATGGTCCATAGGAAAAAATTTTCTCAGTTCTTTCATTTGTGAGATCTTTTCAGAACACCTTCATTCTCTTGATGAAATAATGAATTTGAATTAACTTAATATCTTTAAAGCAACGTAAAAGTGCAAGAAATAGTGATAAAAATGTTTACTTATAATTTTAAAAATACATATTTATTTTTTCACTTTCAATTTTCAATTTTGGGCTTTCTTCCTCAACTATTTTCGCAAAACCGTTCTTTCCCTTAATTGGCATCGCGTAATATGTACAGCTCAGCTCTAGCTTGCTCTAACTCAGCGAAAGTCTAAACACTCTCTGAAAACTAGCACATACAGTGGTCGGTTTCTGAGTCCTTGGTAATGTGTTGTTGAGGCTCACTTGGTTGGGCAAGCCGGGGGGGCTAAGGGGGGCCAGCGGGCAAGAGGGGCGGTGCGGCTGCTGGTGGAACTTCGGCTGGTAGGGCTCCAACATGCGGATCTTGCCCCAGCGGTTGAAGAAGAGGGCGATGGCCGCCACCCAAATGATGAGCACCAGGACCACGAGCAGCACTTCCTCGACACGGACTATGATAACTGGTGCATCTGAAAGTGGAGAAAAAAAATTAAGGAAGTGAAATACTGTTTCATCGATATACATATAGGTATAGGGTATATCATTTTCGAAAATCCCGTATATCATCGAGTTTGAGACATCCTGTTGTAACACTTGTTTATTTTTAAAGTATTGTAATAATAGAAATTAATATATTTTTTATTATGAAACGAAAACTATCGTGGTTGCTTTGAGTCAAACCTCAGCTGTTTACACGGAATGCGCCAGCCAAGTGTTTATTTGCCCTTGAGATAATGTAATTTATGAGTACCTATATATTATTATGTTTTTGGGGACGCCTTTATTTATTATTTTTTATAGTGTTGTTGTTATTGTGATATTGTTATGAGACTCTCTCAGCGTGTGGGTTCCTTTTTTATTTTATTTTTATTTTGATTAAAATTTTATATATTGATTTGTTACTCTAATTTCTCTAAATTAAACATATGTTTAAATTACAAAATATCGATATATTACAAGATTTTACTGATCATGGATTTTTTTACAATCTACAATGTTATAAGTACTCCTTATACTAGATTAATTAAACAAAAAATTTCCTCCCTAAATTCTACTGTTACAGTGCATAATAATTTTTAATACTGCACGTAGTTCAGTTGATTGGCAATGGAATTGTACATTAATTACACATAAATGCAGTGGAAATTTTTTAATATAGAAATTTATATAGCGCTTTAGCTGTAAAATTTGCAAATTTGCTAATTGTCGACACTTACGAACGTAGAACTGTTGCTGGTTATTTAATTTGCATGTAACCTCGCTGCACTGTAAATTCCCCTTTACGTAGTCGCGCTGTTCTGACGTTCCTCGTTGAAATGACGCCTCGCCAAGGAGATTGCCGAATATTCCTTGTGGGTTTCTTTTACAAAAATTCCTCCAGTTGAAACTGCACTGCACTATTTTTTTTATTTTAGATTTTACTTAACACTTTTTATTTATGCTCCTTAACCTAGTTTCAATTTGTTGTTTTAAAATAACTTGTTTTAATGTTGCTGAATGACTTTTCGAACTTTTGTCACTTCTACTAATGTGACTTTCCGATTCTTTTCACCAAGATGGCTTGATAAGTATACTGTTTTCACTAACTTGTTGATTTTAAGTGATAGCAATTGTTTTTTCTAGGAGCAAACTAGCGATGTTACAGGTAAACATGGAAGACTGACTACCTCGAGCCCGGAGATTACTTTTAAGAAACGCGAAAAACAAGTGAAAATTACTATGACAACAATAACCAACATTTTTGAAATTTTATTTATGCAAATATTGATTTTTAGACTGAATTATGATGCATGAAATTCACATTTTCAGCATCATTGCATTTTTTTGCATCTTTTAACACCAATTGCACGTTTCTAGGTTAAGTTAAAAGTTATGTCAAAATTTTACTTATATTTACAAATTTCCACTAAATTTTGATAAATAGATCAATTCTCAGCATGTATGTCCTTTTCCTGTCTTTAGTACAACCTTTTTAACACCTTTCATACAGTCTTTACTCGTTTTTCAGATGTAAACGAAAGAAAATTTCAAATTATTCCGATCCGTCAAGTAATATAAAGTTTGCACAACAATTTGAACTTTGGTTGGAGTTTAAACACAGTTTATGAAGTTATGAGGGCTTTTTACATTCTGCACATATGATTTTGCAGTCCTAATACACCTTTACAATTAAAAATTTACAAATTCTAACGGAACAACAAATGTCAACATTTATATGATACATAATAGTTTTAACAGATGCGTAGGTTTAATTCCACACATACATTCTGGTTACAGGTATACTATGCTTTGTTTGCATTTCAGTTTTATTGCATGACTCAATATTACATGTGAAAAAACCTTCGTCATCCGTCGATGACTTGTCAAAATTTCACTATATTATTAAATGTGCTCATACCAGAACTTATAATTGACATTCAATATTGTAATATTGTTCTTTACTGTTCTTTATAACATAATTATTCTCTATGAGTGCATTTAAATAGTTTTATGAATATGCAAATTCACTTTTTGTTATAATTTTGACAGTCGAGACGTTTTATTGTGAAAATTTATTAATTACGACATATTAACTTATACTGTTGATAAATATCTTTCAATTAAATTGATTACAGTAATTCACACACTGTGTCTATTTCAAATATATTTAATCTAAAAATTTGTGTTTGTTCGACAATTTTATGTTTCGGTTGCTGAGAAAAGAATCGATATAAAATTTCCAATTTAATAAAGCATAACAATATAAAAATATAGCTTGGGACGCCGAGACTAAGAGAGGTTGCTCTTTGCAACAGTGGTGTCTGGACAGAGCCCGAATATGACTCACACACCTGGTAGTTGGGATGCTTACTAGTTAGCGTCCGGGGGAGCCTCGACTCATTTTAGGTTACACTAGCTAGTTGTTGAAGAAAGAATGATACATAATTAATATAATGGATGTCCAATGTTAGGGGGAGTGTAACCCCCCGGTGAGTTACCTATTTATTTGTGATGACCTATGTATAAAAGGTAACAATATCAACAATAACATCTATTTTACACCGTACAATTCTTTATTTGCAATCGATATGTTTTGTATTTTTCCCCAGAAACGAAACGTCCTTACCAAAAATATTATGTCTTCTCTGAGCGGTCTTTTCTGTGCCAAAAACAGTGTAAATTCCGCGTAAATGTTCACCCTTCTTTCTTTGCCGTGTGTTTACTGCCGGTAAAGTTATATCTTCGTCTACAACCAGAGCTTAACGCAATAATTAATTATATTGCAGGAAACATCACGTCGACAGGCTTATTAAAATACCGCTTACCCGCCCGCCGAAATTCGTGCTCAAGATGCTCGTTTTGACGGAGAGATCGATCGCTTTCGCTCGACGCGATCGCGGGGAACCCGCGAGTGTTGATTAATTAGAGATAAGGTCAGGAGTCGGCTCGAATCGTTGTTTCAACACGTCGTCTCTATTAAAGCTGATGCATTTATCAGGGCCTGTGGTTCGTGACTAATTGAGGCAGAAGTTGAGCAGCACTCCGTGATTAATTTTTATTTTTATCGCTTTTATAAGAACTTGCTGAGGGATAGTCCAGAGCAAAGTATTCCTTGAAGAAAGAAATCTATAAAAATGAGAAATGCGAGAGTGACTTTTTTGCATTGCAATTAATATCTTTTATTTAACGAAGAAATACCTACCACTTGGAACCAATGCCATCCTAATCATTGTAATGGGTGTATTCTAGATAAGTTATGAGATTAGGTAACTTTTGAATTTCGATGAATAGGTATAAAATTTCATTTGTATTTAAAAGAAATATTTACTCTTCGTACTTTTTTTATTTGTGAACGGATGTCAATATACAGAGTTGAGTAAAATAGGGCGATGCAAGTTTTAAATTAACATACTTCGAGGAGTGACATGTCTAACAAAAAAATTTCAAGAGATATTTTCTTCTTGAAATTGGTCAAAGAACAAGAAAATACTTTTTATTTTGCCAAAAACTATGTTTTCAGTATTTTGCAAGTAATGATAGTAATAAAAAACTTATCGACATCCGGGCAAACTTCTAACCAAAAAATTCGTACACAAAAGTATCTCGAAAGAAGTGACTCTAAATAGGGAAATTGCAAATAAGTTACAGAATTACGTGTTTTTTTTTTACTTTTTACTGCCCTTTACAACTAACAAAGTAAGACGTGCAAAACAGCGTTATAAACAAATTGTCACAGGGTCAGGCAAAAGCCGCTCGGGAATTCGCTCTTTTTGCATTAAATAGAGCTTATTTTTATGGCAGTTTCAGAGATCACCTACTCCTCTTTGTTCTCAAGATAGTAAGTTTTATGTAACGTTAATTGCTAACGAACTATTGGACATATCGTACCGAAATTTTAAAGACAATTAAAGAAATAGTTAAACTTCTATTTTCAGAAGGTTTTACATTGATAGTTCATGTAATAAAGGCGCTAGCAGCAGTAAAAGTTAACGTTAATGAACGGCCTATACACTGGAGAATGAGCGCCGGGCCCGCGCATGCGCGTAAACGTCGCCCTCGTAGCGCGCGAGACTTTTGACTTGAACGTTTCAAATTCCGTAATTAACAAATTTTTTCAAGTTTTCCGGTTTTATAATCTAATTCGACTGGAGTATACATATTATTTTTAGGATATACTACGATGTATAAAATAGCATTTGTGTAGTATTTGTAAAAGTAATGAAAATCATTTATTTTATTTTCGACAGTTTTTCAACAAGCAAACAATGTAAAATTAAGCCTTGAGTGCCTGCACTGGAAAAAAATCTCCTTATTTTCATTGAATCTTTACCTGATTTTTTTAATATCATCAGTAATTTTTCAGTGGTGGTTCAAGTGATACGTCATATTAAAAATAATTTTTCTTGTTTGTGTATCAAGATACCGGCAAGCAATATAATAATTTATGTTCATCCTAGTTTTCGTTTGTAGCTAATTATAAATTGCGCCCTGAACTTTCTAAATGTGATATAGAGAAACGTATCTAAATATTGTTACCTATAAAATTTGTATTTCTTAGTTTATTCTTTAAATGAATATACCTAATGCAAAAATTTGCACATTCTTTTTAAAGAAAAGAACTATATTATTTATGAACAAAATGTGTTGTAAGGTTATTAGTTAAGGTTCTTGCCTTAATCTAGTCGACCAGTTTTCCATTGGCGTACAAATGGTTTTTCAATATTGTGATATTGTTTTTTATGTTTCTATGGTATATCATCACAATTATTTAGTCATTCACTTACTTTTTTGTAACTTAAAAACGCCTTATGGTGTCATTTTAATATAAAACTTAACTTTTAAGAACGAATTTCGAATTGAAATACGAAATTATTTCGCCTTGAAACGGTAACGGGTATTCGTTACTCTTAAAACTCCCGAAACTTCTTTCTATAAGTTTCTAAAGGTTTCCCTCGAGGTGTTCATTTCTGACTAATGTTTCAACGCTATT